ACCCGTCGTTAAATCAGTACCTTGGCTCACTGACCAATCACAGGCAAGCCCGCCAAAGCTGAAGCAACGTGGTTCACTTGCGGGAAGCTTTTGGCAGACTTGCCTACCTGTTGGTTGAGTACGGTGCACTCTCTGGCTTCTGCTTTCCCATCTGTCACCGTCGTGTACACTTATTATTATGCTATCTGTATATAGTATACATATTTGTATATAGTGGGTGAAGGCAAAATATACATTATAGTCTACTGCTGAGTTTGTTTGCTCCAATTCCCATTACGACCAGGTCTTACAGGCCATTCTTTACCTGTGTTCGTAATACTCTTCCTTTGCCCCCACCCTATTTTCTCACCCACTCTCCTATTTTCTCACCCACTCTCCTATTTTCTCACCCACACTCCCCTCTTATTTTTTCATCCCCTCTCCTTCCCCTCCTGTTTTCACATGCCTTCCCCCTCCTCTTCTATTTATTACCCTCTCTCCCTCCCCTTCTTTTAACACATATATTTCGTATCGTATGTCAGAGAGCGTGTCACTTTCAAGATTTACGGACGGAGGATGGTTCCTTGAGTACTTTGTGCTGCATCCCATACGGGTTTACTGCTTTACATAAAATATAATACTTAACGTTATTCGGGTAGAAAGGAAAAACTTGCTGCCTTGATTTTGGTATATCAGGGAAGTAGTTTTAGAATTTTAGGTACCCATATATTTCGTAAATATATATCTTCAGTCTCCATATATATTTTAAATTTATGTAAATAACCATATACTGTATTTAAATGTACCTATATATTCTCTAATGATATTCAGGCTGATCCTTTTTCTCTCATAATCGAAATAATAAGAGATGATTCTAAAACAGTAATAATAATACAGAATACAAGGACTCTGATCTCAGCTGAGTAATGTAGAGAGATCAATATTATGATTGTAGGTGGGGAAGGGAAGGACTGTGGTTATCATTGTTGTTATTCATACATGGTAGTGGCTTGAATCTTCAGGGGTGATATCAGAGGCCAGAGTTTTCCTCTCCCTGGCTTTCCCGTTGTATCCTTAATGTATATTTACCGTCGTTTTGTTATCTTTCTATTTTCATTTTGGTTTGGTTCAAATATGCACAGACATGTCTTCCCATTTTCATCAGGTTTGCTCTCAGGACTCAAGAACAGCTTGGGCATCATTTGTCCCGAGAGTACCTGGTTATGGTACTTCAATTCCCCAAGAGTACATGGTCATGGTACTTCGTCTCACCAAGAGTACCTGGTCATGGTACTTTCATTCCCCAAGAGTACGTGGTCATGGTACTTCCTCTTTCTTACCAAGAGTACATGGTCATGGTACGGCCTCTCACCAAGAGTACCTGGTCTTGGTACTGCCTCTCACCAAGAGTACCTGGTCATGGCACTTCCTCTCACCAAGAGTACCTGGTCATGGTACTGCCTCTCACCAAGAGTACCTGGTCATGGTACTTCCTCTCAACCAAGATACCTGGTCATGGTACTTGCCTCTCACCAAGAGCACGCTGGTCATGAGTATACTGGCCTCTCACCAAGAGTACCTGGTCATGGTACTGCCTCTCACCAGGAGTACCTGGCCATGGTACTGCCTCACCAGGAGTACCTGGTCATGGTACTGCCTCTCACCAAGAGTAACTGGTCATGGTACTGCCTCTCACCAAGAGTACCTGGTCATGGTACTGCCTCTCAACAAGAGTACCTGGTCATGGTACTGCCTCTCACCAGGAGTACCTGGCCATGGTACTGCCTCACCAAGAGTACTTGGTCATGGTACTGCCTCTCACCAAGAGTACGTTGTCATGGTACTGCCTCTTGCCAAGAGTACCTGTTCATGGTACTGCCTCTCACCAAGAGTACCTGGTCATGGTACTACCTCTCACCAAGAGTACCTGGTCATGGTACTGCCTCTCACCAAGAGTACCTGGTCATGGTACTGCCACTCACCAAGAGTACCTGGTCATGGTACTGCATCTCACCAAGAGTACCTGGTCATGGTACTGCCTCTCACCAAGAGTACCTGGTCATGGTACTGCCTCTCACCAAGAGTACCTGGTTATGGTACTGCCTCTCACCAAGAGTACCTGGTCATGGTACTGCCTCTCACCAAGAGTACCAGGTCATGGTACTGCCTCTTACCAAGATTACCTGGTCATGGTACTGCCTCTCACCAAGATTACCTGGTCATGGTACTGCCTCTCACCAAGATTACCTGGTCATGGTACTGCCTCTCACCAAGAGTGGTCATGGTACTGCCTCTCACCATGAGTACCTAGTCATGGTACTGCCTCTCACCAAGAGTACCTGGTCATGGTACTGCCTCTACCAAGAGTACCTGGTCATGGTACTGCCTCTCACCAAGAGTACCTGGTCATGGTACTGCCTCTCACCAAGAGTACCTGGTCATGGTACTGCCTCTCACCAAGAGTACCTGGTCATGGTACTGCCTCTCACCAAGAGTACCTGGTCATGGTACTGCCTCTCACCAAGAGTACCTGGTCATGGTACTGCCTCTCACAAGAGTACCTAGTCATGGTACTGCCTCTCACCAAGAGTTGCGTTGGTCATGTCCGTACTGCCTCTCACCAAGAGTACCTGGTCATTGTACTGCCTCTCACCAAGAGTACCTGGTCATGGTACTGCCTCTCACCAAGAGTAACTGGTCACGGTACTGCCTCTCAACAAGAGTACCTGGTCATGGTACTGCCTCTCACCAGGAGTACCTGGCCATGGTACTGCCTAACCAAGAGTACTTGGTCATGGTACTGCCTCTCACCAAGAGTACGTTGTCATGGTACTGCCTCTCGCCAAGAGTACCTGTTCATGGTACTGCCTCTCACCAAGAGTACCTTGTCATAGTACTACCTCTCACCAAGAGTACCTGGTCATGGTACTGCCTCTCACCAAAAAGTACTGGTCATGGTACTGCCTCTCACCAAGAGTACCTGGTCATGGTACTGCCTCTCACCAAGAGTGCTTGGTCATGGTACTGCCTCTCACCAAGAGTGCTTGGTCATGGTACTGCCTCTCACCAAGAGTACCTGGTCATTGTACTGCCTCTCACCAAGAGTACCTGGTCATTGTACTGCCTCTCACCAAGAGTACCTGGTCATTGTACTGCCTCTCACCAAGAGTACCTGGTCATGGTACTGCCTCTCACCAAGACTACCTGGTCATGGTACTGCCTCTCACCAAGAGTACCTGGTCATGGTACTTCCTCTCACCAAGAGTACCTGGTCATGGTACTGCGTCTCACCAAGAGTACCTGGTCATGGTACTGCCTCTCACCAAGAATACCTGGTCATGGTACTGCCTCTCACCAAGAGTACCTGGTCACGGTACTGCCTCTCACCAAGAGTACGTGGTCATGGTACTACCTCTCACCAAGAGTACCTGGTCATGGTACTGCCTCTCACCAAGAGTACCTGGTCATGGTACTGCCTCTCACCAAGAGTACCTGGTCATGGTACTTCCTCTCACCAAGAGTACCTGGTCATGGTACTGCGTCTCACCAAGAGTACCTGGTCATGGTACTGCCTCTCACCAAGAATACCTGGTCATGGTACTGCCTCTCACCAAGAGTACCTGGTCACGGTACTGCCTCTCACCAAGAGTACGTGGTCATGGTACTACCTCTCACCAAGAGTACCTGGTCATGGTACTGCCTCTCACCAAGAGTACCTGGTCATGGTACTGCCTCTCACCAAGAGTACCTGGTCACGGCACTGCCTCCCACCTAGAGTACCTGGTCATGGTACTGCCTCTCACCAAGAGTACCTGGTCATGGTACTGCCTCTCACGCAAGAGTAACCTGGATCACCATGATGCGCTGCCTCTCACCAAGAGTACCTGGTCATGGTACTGCCTCTCACCAGGGGTACCTGGTCATGGTACTGCCTCTCACCAAGAGTACCTGGTCATGGTGCTGCCTCTCACCAAGAATACCTGGTCATGGTGCTGCCTCTCACCAAGAGTACCTGGTCATGGTGCTGCCTCTCACCAAGAGTACCTGGTCATGGTACTGCCTCTCACGAAGAGTACCTGGTCATGGTACTGCCTCTCACCAAGAGTACCTGGTCATGGTGCTGCCTCTCACCAAGAGTACCTGGTCATGGCACTGCCTCTCACCAGGGGTACCTGGTCATGGTACTTCCTCTTACCAAACGTATATACTAATCCTCAGTAAATTTACCTACTGTATTTCTGCTTCATCTCAGTTAGTCTCAATAATCATGAGATATCTTTGTCCTCTTGTTTCTTCCCTTCTTATCCGCCTTCACCCCTCAAGGAAGGTTCCTTGATGCTGGTGAGGGGCTCTTGATCTAGGGAACTGGATCTGTGCTCCAGTTCCCTGAATTAAGCCTGAATACCTTCCATCCCTCCCCCAAGCACTGTATAATCCTATGGGTTTAGTGCTTCCCCCTTGATTATGATATGATTATCCGCCTTCAGCTAATTTATCTCCCTCTTCCCTCCTAATGTCTTTTCATTCATGTATGTATGTGTGTGTGTGTCTTATGTATGTGTGTGTGTTTGTATGACGTCTGTGTATGATTTGTACATAGTGTTTAAATTTACCATCATTAATGCTATAACAAATGCTTCTCTGTAAATATTCTCTAATTAACAAAAAATAAAATTTAGGACATTCAGGCTTTTGCTTAATATTCATACAAAATTTGCTTGCTTTCTCCACTAATTGTATTACCTGTCTTAATTTTATCTCAGTACAGTGCTTGCATTATGCATCTATATGCTTTGCTAATTAACTAATTTTTAACTTCATCTAATACAGTTGTATACAGTTTTTCATTAAGGTGATACTAATAACCTGAGTTATTGAGAGGGCACTTGTGTGGCCCTGGAACAACTTGCTTGGAGAGAGAGCAAGAAAGAGTGTGTGTGTGTTTGTGTGTGTGTGTGTGAGTGAGTGAGTGCGCACTTTATCAGCACCTAGTAACGCAAGATTCTGTTGTTATTACAGAGTCGAGCGTCTGATTTCCCCCGCGGGTCTTGATTGACGAAGATCGGGGAGATCACGTCGCTCTTCTCTGGCTTGAGGAGTTTACCAGGAGAGAAGAACTCTGTGGTCTGCTGCTGCTGCTCCTGCGTCTGCCATCATCTTCTCTTCCTCTTCGCTCTAGGCACTGTCTACCCCCACCAACAAGTTCCTCCCTCTGCTAGCACTGGTGTTGGCATCGGTCGAGGAGGTACAGCTTCCCTGCCATCTAAGAAGATTTCTGACCTTGACAGTGAGTGAAACATAACTATCTAAAGAACTCTAGAGGGTGTAAAAGTCTCTTATAAAGCTCAAAATTTTGAAATGACAAACATGAAGGTGTTCATTGTGCTTCACTAGAAAAACTGCAACTGAAGCAGCAGTAGCAGAGAACATTATTTGGGTTCATGAACGGGAAATGATATAAATAGTTGAAAGAAAAGTGATAACGAAAAGGTGCGAAGTTCGAATATTTGTAGTGACTCGCCTGCCAAAGTACAGGTAACGGATAAACAAGACGCTAGTAAATCTCAAGTAAATTTGCAATGCACACACTGCAATGAATTTGAAAGTGTAAAAGGAATTTGTGGTGATAATGATACACAGAAGTCGTATCGCAAAATTTGTCCAGAATACTGCACCCAATAGAAAAACAAGATTGTTCTGTTTGTTGAATGGAAGGTGGCGACGACAGACGGAGAAGACCTTGAAGCATAATTGATCCCGTGCACAGATCATAAACTCGAACATTTGACCTCAGTGCTGTTGCTCTCAAGTTATGGGAAGCTGGTAGAGCTGAAGCTGGTATTAGAGGTGAGAAGTGTATACACTGTTGAGGCAAGTAGCGCAAGTGGGCGTCAGGAAGACATTGAGTTTCCTATTGTGTGCAGAGGATATCTGAAGACCTCATCTGAGGACCTCATCAGAAGACCTCATCTAAGGGCATCAATCATCTGAGGACATCAATCATCTGAGGGCATCATCTGAGACTCGCTCGTCTAAGGGGTTTGTAGTAGCCGCTAGGAAGTGTGTGTGGGATGACTGGGGCGTGCGGGCGCGTGGGCGGTGTGGCAGGGTAGCGGGGCAGCCCCAGCATGAGGGTAGCGGCCCCAGCAAGACCCCCACGCGACCCCGCCCCCGAAATCGCCGCAAGCCGCCCGCCCGCCGCCAGCCGCCCGCTGCACCATGAGATAACAGCGGTGGCCGCCGCAGAAGCAACCGCAGCTGCCGCAGACAAGGCAGGACGTCATGAGTAATGTTTATGCGGCGTATGGGCCCGTGCCCACCAGTGTCGGGGTCTCGGCCGCCCCCAGACTCAATGGCTCCCTGGACAGGCGAGCCATGGTGGGCCGTTCGTCCATGTTGGGCCGCTCGGCCACCCTGGGCCGGGCAAACAACGGGCCCATGGGCCGCTACCCACCGCCGGGAATGGGATGCTCCTACCAGGACCTCCGGCGCTCTAGAGAGTTCCTGGAGATGAAGCACGGTCCCATGGAATTGCTGGAACCCCTGGACACGTTAAGCATGGCCGGTAGTGTTCTTCGAGGCTCCTTTGAAGGGTTCCCCGCGCTGCCAACCTCCACGCTGGAGCGCCGACGCAACGGTGGCGTAATAACCGGTTGCAGTGTCCACGGCGGCGGCGGCGGCTCGTTAAGTCGCGCCGGAAGCTGCCACGGATCGCACTACCAGCTGGCAGAGGAACGAAGAAGTGGCTGTTGTCGGAGGAGCTGCTGCACCATCACTCTCTCCCTCATCGCTTGTCTCCTTATACTCAGCGGGGTCATCGTAGCTCTCTACTTCTTCATCAAGAGTACGTCTTCTCTCCCTCTTCCCACACCCTGCACCTCTTTATATATATATATATATATATATATATATATATATATATATATATATATATATATATATAATATATATATATATATATATATATATATGTAATATGTCGTGCCGAATAGGTAGAACTTGCTATTTTGGCTTAATAATTTCGTAAAAATCATTCTGAACCTAACGAAAAATAAATATTTCATTGTGTTTGTTTATTATTAAATTATTGTAAACTTGTCAAAAATATGTGTAGTTGGATTAGACTAAATTAAATTGCGCTTGTTTTAATAAGATTAGGTAAGGTTTCTAAAGTTCTTTTGGTACAAAATTATTAATTTTTACATTAACATAAATGGAAAAAACATATCTTTAAACGTAAAAGAGAAAATTTTAGAAAGGACTTAATTTTAAATGAGTTCTTGCTAATTGACCAGTTTTACCATTCGGCAACACACACACACATTATATATATATATATATATATATATATATATATATATATATATTATATATATATATATATATATATATATATATATATATATATATATATATATATATATATATATATATATATATATATATATATATATATATATATATTTATATAAGCGCACAGTGCTCATAGTCGCTTACTATTTATCCTTGCTGACAGTGGCTTCGCTGACGCATCCCGTTATTGTTTTGTTGTGGTATTGTTGTCTTGTTGTTTTTGTAATGATTTTTTTTTTTTTTGTGCTGGGCCTGAACCGAGTCCTGTGAACATTTTTTTTTAAACCTTCCGTGACCACAGTTTTATTTTTCACCCTGCAAGTGCATTTTTTCCGTGTGCTCCCTGCACCCTCGTTCTTCGACGTGCATGCAATTAGTGACACCCCCCTCCCCCCAGTGTATGTTTTTGTGTTTCTGTAGCTGTGTATCTGCTATACTGAGGTAAGCTGGATTTATTTGTATTTTATTTGAGTAAGTGTTTGGTCACCTGTTATTCTGAAATGTATTGTTTCTTATACTTGTATATAAAATGCTCCAAGTGCATATTATATTTAATAACGTTTCCCCTTTATTTATATTTTGTGAATTATGTAGATATGTACAGTAGAAAATTGGATGTAAATCTTCTCAGATACTTGCTGTAAGTGTTATATAATGAACTCGCCTAGTTGTGTTTGCGGGGTTTAAGACGCAGCCCCAGACACTACCTAGACTGCTTTGATCGGCATCAGTGACTTCTGGCCCCTTTGGCCTTATCATACCTACCTATAGTTGTATACAGATCTTTCCTTCACCACTGCATCATCTTTCCAATCACCCTGAGAGTAAAGAACTACTGCTTCATGTCCCTATGGCTTCCTCAGCTTCCACTTGTGTGTCTCACTCTTGTGGGAGCTTATCACATAGCATTGAAAATCATCTGTTTTATAATCAGCGTGTAAGTGGGCGTCTGGAAAGCCAAATAAGAAAAGAACAATGGTTAGTGGGTTTTCTTTTGCGTTACCCTGCCTTGATGTAAGGTATTCACCTATATGTGGTTACAGGGATCGATTCACAGTTCCTCGCCCCGCCTCTTCGCTTGTCGCTACTTGGTCCACTCCCGGCTCCAAGGGCCTTATTGTACCTCTTTTAAAGCTGTGTAGGGATCCCTCCTCTACTACTACACTCTCCTGACAACCCTATGGCTGAAGAAATACTTCTTAACATCCGTATGATTTGTCTGAGTTTTCATCTTCCAGTTGTGCTGTCTTGTTTCTATATCCCATTTATGAAGCATTCTTTCCCTGTTCACCTAGTCAGTGCCTCTCAGTATTTTGCACATAGTTATCATATACCTCTATCCCTTCTGTCGTCCATTGTCATCAGGTTGCTTTCCCTTAACCTCTTATCATAGGACATATTCCTTAGCTCCGCGACTAGTCATTAGTTTCACGTCGTCTGACACCTCTGACTATCCCTTCTGTCATCTCACTCACGTATACAAGAAACAGCACTGGCCCTAGAACTGACCCTGTGGAACCCCACTCTACACATACACCCATTCCGACACCTCACGTACCATCACTTGTTGTTTCCTTCCTGTCAGGTATTCCCTGATTCATTGCAGTGCTTTTCCTGTTATTCCTACCTGCTCCTCGAACTACTAGGTCCACTCTCCCTCCTCCATGAACTTTGTCGTATCTCTTCTTGCTATGTATAGATCCTACCTCCACTACATCACTCGCCATTTTGTTCCACTTCCTGACAACTCTATGGCTGAAGAAATACATCCTAACAGCCATGTGACTCATCTGAGTTTTTGGTTTCCAGCTGTATCCCCTTGTGGCTGTGTCCCATCACTGAAACATTCTGTCCCTATTCACCCTGTCAGTTCCTCTCAGTATTTCATATGCCGTTATTATATCCCTTCCCCCTATCCCTTCTGTCCTCCACTGTCATCAGGTTGATTTCCCTTAACTTCTCCTCGTAGGACATACCCCTTAGCTCCGGGACTAATCTTGTTGCAAACTTTTGCACTTTCTCTAGTTTCTTGACGTGCTTGACCAGGTGTGGGTTCCATACTTGTGCTGCATCCAATATGGGCCTTACATATACGGTGTACAGAGTCTTGAATGATTCCTTACTCAAGTGTCGAAATGTTATTCTTAGGTTTGCCAGGCGCCCATGTGCTGCAGCAGTTATTTGGTTGATGTGTTCTTCAGGAGATGTGCTCGGTATTATATTCACTCAAAGATCCTTTTCCTTGAGTGAGGTTTACAATCTTTGCATCCCCCCTAGCCTGTACTCTGCGGTTTTCTTTGACCTTCGTCAATCTTCATGACTTTTCACTTGGTGGGATTAAACTCCAGGAGCCAGTTGTTGGACCAGACTTCCAGCCTGTCCAGATTCCTTTGTAGTTCCATCTGATCCTCATCCACTTGAATTCTTCGCATTAGCTTCACATCGTCTGCAAACAGGGACACCTCTGAATCTTTCCCATCAGTCACGTATACCAGAAACAGCACCTGCCCTAGGACTGACCCTTGTGGAACTCCACTCGCCACAGGCGCCTACTCTGACACCTCATCGCTCGTAATTTCCTTCCTGTTAGGTATTCTTTGATCCAGTGCAATGCCTTTCCTATTGTTTCTGCCTGCTCCTGTAGCTTTTGCACTAATCTCTTGTGCGGAACTGTGTTGAAAGTCTTCTTGCAGTCCAAGAAAATGCAGTCTACCCACCCCTCTCTTGTATTACTTCTTACTTTATCGTAAACCTCAAGTAGATTTGTGACACAGGATTTCCTTTCCCTGAAGCCGTGCTGGTTATCGTTTATAATCTCATTCCTTTCTAGTTGCTTCACTGCTCTTCTACCGATAAGTTTCTTTTTGACTTTGCTTATTATACATGTCACTGAAACTGGTTTGTAGTTTAATGCCACCTACCTGTCCCCTTTCTTAAAGACTGGGACTACATTTACCGTCTTCCACACCTCAGGTAGTTGCCCTTTTTCAATAGATGTGTTGAAAATTGTTAGTGGCACATACAGTACTTCTGCTTCCTCTCTCAGGATCCACGGAGAGATGTCCAGTCTGACCGCCTTTGAGATATCTAGCTCACTTAGCAACCTCTTCATCTCCTCCTCTGTTGTATGTAGTGTGTCCAGCACTTGTTGGTGTACCCTTCCATCCCAGTTTGCTGGAGTAATTTCTGTCTCCACTGAAAATACTTCCTTGAATCTCGTGTTGAGCTCCTCGCATACTTCTTCGTCGTTTCTTGTGATCTCCCCTCCGTCCTTCCTCAGTCTGAATACTTGATCCTTGACTGTTGCTTTACTCGTGATGTGGCTGTACAACAGCTTTGGGTCAGATTTGGCTTTCGATGCTATATCCTCGTATTGCCGCTGGGCTTCCCTCCTTATCCATGCATGTTCACTTCTGGCTTTTCGGCTAATCTCCTTATTTACCTGGGTCCTTTGTCTAATGTACTTTTTTCCATTCTCTAGCGCACTTAGTTTTGGCCTCTTTACTCCTTTATGTGAACCAAGGGCTCGTTTTGGTCTTCCTGTTGTTTCTGTTGCCCTTGGGTACGAACCTCTCCTCTGCCTTCTTGCATTTTGTAGTCACGTATTCTATCATTTTATTTACTGTTTTTCTCACCAGTTCTCTTTCTCACTGTACCTCATGCAGGAAACTCCTCATGCCTGTGCAGTCCCCTGTTTTGTAGTTTGGCTTCTCCCTTCCTACTCGTGCTGCTTCACTCTCTACTTTTAACTCTACAATGTATTCGAAGTTCAGGACCAGGTGATCATTAGCTCCGAAGGGCATTTCATATGTGATGTCCTCAGTGTCAGAACTACTCAAAGTGAATATAATATCGAGCCTTCCTGGTTCATCCTCTCCTCTCTGGTAGTGCCCCTGACATGTTGATGCATGAAGTTTTACAGTATCACCTCCATCTTCATAGCTCTCCACGTTTCTGGTCCCCCATGTGGTTCCATGTTTTCCTAGTCAATCTCTTTGTGATTGCAATCACAAACAACTAGTAACTTTGCTCTACCTATGTGGGCCCTTCTGACAACAGCAGCTAATGTGTTCATCAATACTCCGTTGCTCTCATATTCTTCTCTTGGCCTCCTGTTATTCTGTGGCAGGTTGTACGTCACTACAGTCACCACCTTGGGACCCCCAGTCTGAAGTGTTCCTACTAAGTAGGCTCCTGCCTTCATTCTGTCCATTCCTTCCATTTCTTCAAATCTCCACTGCTTTTTGATGAGCAATGCAACTCCTACTCCCCCTCTAATTCCTCCGTCTTTCCTCAGGATCTGATATCCGGATGGAAAAATAGCATCTGTTATCCCCGAGAGCTTCGTTTCTATGAATGCTATGATGTCTGGTGATGTTTCTATGATTCTTTCATGCCACTCCTCACATTTATTTGTTATTCAGGCTGCGTTGGTGTACCAAGCCTTCAGCTTCTTTTCTACTACAGCAGCCCCCTGCATAGTATCCTGGC